GCATACAGCAGGCACTGTGTCCCACTGTGTATACAGGAGTCACTCGAGCGGCCAGGAGGGCATACAGCAGGCACTGTGTCCCACTGTGTATACAGGAGTCACTCGAGCGGCCAGGAGGGTATGCAGCAGGCACTGTGTCCCGCAGGGAGGGGACACCGCAGGTGCTGGGGCCTGCGTGGGGGCCTAGCGCCTTGGAGAGGGAGCATGTGGAGGCAGATGGGGATGCGTGAAGATAGGGCGTCCTGGGTCCTGGGCCCCCACCTCTGTTCCCTCGGGCCCCAGCCTCCTGCCTCTGTCCTCTGTCCTCTGTCCTCTGGCCACAGCTCAGCTGGACTCAGCAGATTCCCGGAGAAGGAGGCCAAGCGCTCAGCTCGAAATACCTCGTGCAGGTGGAGGGGTGCTTATGAGGGTTATAGACTGCAGGTGTGCGGCATCTCAGCCCCTCCACCCCTCCCGTGCCCTGGCTTAGACCCCCGACAGGGGGGCAGTGCGGCCCCCTACCCTGAGCTCTAGCCTGGGCCGTCCCTGAGGCAGGGCCCGGGGGGATCAGGCCAAGCGGACACAGGTCCCCGCGGATGCGGGTCAGCTGGGCTCCTGCCACCTCTGTGGTCTTGCAGCCTTGGGGCTCAGGAAATGCCCACGAGCAGATCCTGTGGCCTCTGCCTGCCCCCCCAAACCCCAAGTCCCTGTGGCCTCCTGTGATGCCTCAGGCCTGGCCACATGGTCCCCGGGACGTTTCAGCCTCCAGAGGAGCCTGGACGGGCGGGGGGGGGGGCTCCTGCCACTCCTGCCCCAGAACCCTGGCTTCCCGCAGCTGCCCTGAGATGAATTCTCACTCCCACTTCATAGGGATACTGAGGGGCAGCGGGACCCAGAGAGCCTGGGCGGCTTCTCCCCCACATCTGAATGGGAGTCTGAGTTCCTTCTTGGAGGGAGTGGGGGGGGGAGGACTTGCTTGGGTTGGGATCCCTGCCGGCAGGACCTGGAGGAGGAGGGAGTGGGGCAGGAGAGGGTGTGAGGGAGAGGACATTCTCAGCAGGGGGACAGAGGGAGGGCACAGGCAAAGGCCGGGTGGCTGGAGGCCCAGGTGAGGACCGGGCGGGGCAGGGGGCCTGTGCGGCTGGTGGGGGGGCGGAGGGAGCGAGGGGGTCGGCTTGGAGGCAGAGAGGGGCGGGAGCCCGGGAGGCTCGCTGAACATGGCAGGTCATCTCAGGCACACGGTCAGGTGGAAACATCAAGAAAGTTATGCATGACACGGTGCCATTTATAGAGAGGAAAAGATGCATGTTACAT